GCTGGGCGCGGTGGCTCTCACCTGTAATCTCAGCACTTTGGGAGGCCGAAGTGGGAGGATCAAGAGGTCAGGAGATAGAGACCAGCCTGGCCAACAGGGTGAAACCCCGTCTCTACTAAAATACAAAAAATTAGCTGGACATGTTGGCGCACGCCTGTAGTCCCAGCTACTCAGGAGGCTGAAGCAGGGGAATCACTTGAACCCGGGGAGGAGAGGTTGCAGTGAGGCCAAGATTGTGCCACTGCACTCCAGCCTGGTGACAGAGCAAGGCTCTGTCTCAAAAAAAAAAGAAAAGAAAAAGAAAAGAAATAAATAAGATAAAAATCAGAAATGAGAACACAGTGAATTTTAGAAGTTTTTGGGTTACATTTTTGTTTTTGAAGCATTAAGTCATCTCATTCTTTATCTTTTTTGTTTGGACCAATGGGTTTCTAAGAAATGTAAAGGATTTGAGAAAGTGAAGAGCTTTAGCAACAAAAGTTATTAATGGAAGAAAACATTCCAAGTTGTCATTTCCTATGAAAGCTATTCTTCTATCAGTGGGTGGTCAGGTAATTACCAGAGTGGCCTTCAGAGAAGAACCTATATGCTGATGAATTCTTATGTGAAGGTCAGTGTAGTGGTTTGGGCGACTCTTTCTAATTCTGGCAATTCTTGTGAAGAGGTTTCTTTGTTCACCGCCAGTTAGGGGCACAGCAGCACTTTAGGAGGGGAAGCAGAATGCAAGCCATTAGTGCTAGACAAGCATGTGTCTGCTAATTACTCATTGGGTGTAAAATAAGTCAGCTTGGCCCACCTAGTCTCTTAGAAGTGACACAAGAGCCATTGTTGATGGGCTTGACGTGTGTTGCCTAGTTCATGGGTTTTGTGGCACCTGTCCTTGTTTCTTTCACTCCTCAAGTAAGAAGGCTCCTAGATAATGAAGTCAGGTTAATCTTTTGCTACTTAACAGTGTCTCAGTTTCACTTGAAGATTTGCCCAGCATTTAGAAGCTGTTGACACTGCCTCAGACACAGTACTAGGGATAGCAAAGTGCCACTACTAAGAATACCACAGGAGAATGGGAAAGATGCCAAATATAAGGAAGTGGCACTTGCCATTCTGTCTTTATTTCACAGTCTTCCACTCCATTTTTCCCAAACAACAGTCAATAGAAGCTAAAAAGCCTTGTTGCACTTTTCTCCCTGGCTCTGAACTCAAAGCAGAAGTGGATCATGGCTATGGAGAGTTTTTTCCATCTTGGCCAGTGAAGTGTCACTTAGCTCGATCCTTATCCCAAGCGTTAATTGACGCTGTTAACTTTTGACACGGATGCCAAGAAATAGTAATGAGGAAATGACACTCTGTTTATCTTGCACTTGGAGGTTTATTTAGAGAGCCATATGTTTCTTTAGCCAAAGGGCACTAAAGTAACGCTGCACTATTTAGTGTACTGTGAAAGATGAGTTTTTAGCAGGTCTCCTGATACCTTGTAGAAATTGTTATATATTTAAAAAGCGGAACTTTTTTTGTTGTTGTTTGTTTGAAACGAAGTCTCACTCTGTTGCCCAGGTCAGAGTGCAGTGGCACAGTCAGGGCTCACTACAGCCTCGACTTTCCAGGCTCAAGTGATCCATCTGCCTCCTCCCCACAAGAAGCTGGGACTACAGGCATGTGCCACCATGTTCAGCTAATTTTTTTGAATTTTGGTAGAAACAAGGTCTCGAGATGTTGCCCAAGCTGGTCTCAAACTCCTAAGCTCAAGCTGTACTCCCTCCTGGGCCTCCCAAAGTGCTGGAGTTTCAGGCACTGCACCTGGCCTAAAAGTGGAACTTTCTTTACTCAACAGAAGGATCAGACCTGGTGTTTAATATTAGCATATTTGCCATGAATTAAGTATGTATTTCCTACTCATAGAAATTTCTATAGAATTGAGTTATAATCCTTCTCTGAGTAATTAAAAGCAGCATGGTATCTTTGTGTATATTTTTACTTCTAATAAAATTATAACGTTAACTTAGTGCAGGTAGGTATATGTATAATGTGGCTATATAATTAAATAGGGATATGCATGTAAGCATTTTATATCTACCATGGCTTCTCCACCCACCTGTGTGACTTTTTGTAAGTTATTTAACTTCTCTATGCCCAGTTTCCCATTTGTAAAGTGCTGGCCAGTAATGCCTATTTCATAGGATATTATAAGGATTAAATGAGTTAGAATATGTAATGCATTTAGAATTGTGCCTGAAACAATAAGCTCAGTAATATTAATCATTATTATTATATTACGTTATCAATTTTTAATTTTTATTTGCCTATTTTCTTAATGTATAACTACCAAACTATATTAGTTGGATTCAAACATTCTTGGTTGGTAATAAAGGCCCTAAAATAATGTTACACTTTTCTCCCCCTGTGGGACTTTTTTCCAGCTTGACAGAGAACAACATAAGAAGTCCTTGAGCAAACCAAGCAAGAGCAATGTCAAGTCAATGAAAATCTAAAAAGATATGTATGAAAAGATATTCAGGAAGTTAGGGACTATGTATAGTCAGCACAAGGCTATAGACTTTGGGTCATCTGGGTTATATGCTAGGGAAATCACTAAAATGCCCAAAACCTATCCTTAGAGTACACTACTAGCAAAGCCATGTTTTTTCCCCAACCACCTCCCACCCTACAAGAAATAACACAGCACAATCAAGGTACACTGAAAAACAGACTGTGGCATGAATCTATCACCAAGCTTCCATTTAAATGGGAGAGCAAATATATGGATATGATGATTAACTCACTGCATGACCCTTAACACTTGTGATTGTATCATCTATAATATTTGGCATGAACAAATTCATCATCATCATTTATGAACTTAGGATAAAGTAAACTTATCACCCACCAAGATCTGGAAGTAATGCTGGCATTGAAATGGTGCTCACCATCACCAGTTCTGCTGAACTAGCTATGGCTGGATGTCTGAAGATAGCAAAGCAACATGTCCTGGTGAGCTGGATAGCAAAGCAACATGTCCTGGTGAAACAAGCAGGAAAGTTGAAGAAACGCTCCAACAACACACAGTAATCAACCTTAGATGACTTAGTCTAATCATGGCATATTAGAAGAGTGCTTTGTCTCTGGTAGTTAGTAGTGAAATGGTTCCACTTAAGCAAAGGGCAGAAGGAGGACTGATAATAACCAAGTCTTCAAGAAATCAATGATATTATTATAACAGGGACTTTATTTTAGTCATACTCTCCACCAATGATTTTACCAGAAGAATCATATATTCTCTCTGCTGACTTCCTTTCTGCGTCATCTCTTTTCTCTCATATTCAGTCCAACAAACATGTAATAAATAGCTGTTGCAGAAGTCTTCCCCATTTGGAATTTGTATGTATCATCAGGCCTCTGCTTGAGAATCTCACCTCAGTGGTGACCTCCTCTACATAACTACACATCTAGTTTCCTTGACTCATGTTGATGATGTTCCACCAAGAGGCCCATGTAAGCACCTCTCCAGCCATGGCCCTCGCTGTTCCAGCGCTCTAGTGTCAGTCCTTGCCTTAGGCCTGCATCTTCCAACCAGAAATGTACTCTTCTCTACTAGTATATATGGACCCCTTTCCTCAAATCTCAAATCAAAAGTTACCCATTTTAGGAAGTCTTCATTAATACCGCTCCTCTCTGGTCCATTGTTTTGTTGTCCTGTATCGCCCATAGCATGCATCTTTTGCTGTTTTAGCTCACCCTTGTATATGGATAGCTCTCCATTGTACTTGTTACCTCAGGTATGTGTGAAACCTCATTGGACCCTAAGGACAGAGACCCATTCTGTCCACTATCACTTCCAACTACCTACCTACATACACACTTATCACCTGTATTCTGCTTGTTGAGGAGAATGAGTGGATAGGTTCATTTAATCCTCTTCAAACACATACAAGTATATAAAGAAAACTGATGTATTTTAAAGTCGTTATTTCTTTAGAAATCCTCTAACAAAAGTTCATCTTGCTTTGCATAAGATTTATCATCCATTTCACTTTTATAACTAAGCTAATATACCATTTATGTTTAGTTTTGTTTCTTTTCATTATATACATGTTTATATTTTTTCAGAGTCTTTTCAAAATTCAAGTGAATATACTTAGATTCTTTTGTTAACATATATATTAATACTAGATACCAATAAGAGAAAAGCCTTAGTGTTTAGGCAGGGGAGAATTTTCCGAATGTCAGTAAGTTGACTAAATGTTTTCAAGGCTTGTTGTAATTTGTTTTTGTGTTTTGTCTTGCTCTTTCTTTTTCCTTTTGATCTAGTACTGAAGTTACCGTTCTACATATGCTTTGTGTATAAATTAATTTAACACTAACCACCTAGACTTCAGAATCACATCTGAGATCAGAAACAAGGGTTTGTTACTACCTCCTTTGTGGCTTATATTATCCGTTCTTGTAACTGGAGTCATCAAAATGATACATGAAGTGCATGTAGATCTTACCAAAAAATTCAGTGTCATTTTCACTCAGTAGCACCTATTAACATGTTTCGTCACACCAGTTGGTCTCAGAGCAGAGCCCAGAAGAAAGCAGACACGCGGCAAACAGGATTTTAATTGAAGGGAAATGACTGCGAAAGGTCATACCCACAGGCATGGGTAGGACACTCAAAGCCGCTGCTGCCAGCCAATGTTTGAAAAGTACCCCCAGTGGGCAATGGTGGGAGGGCACTGAAGACAAAGCTCACCTTCGTCACAGTTTTGCCCTAATCCTTTTGTCCACTCATGTAATGTCTGGTTTTTTAAAGATGCAGGTCCTTTGTATTGTATAGGAGGTTTCGATATGCTATACCCTCTTAGGAACTGGTCTACCATTTCATGAAGTGCCAAAAACATAGTCAGGTACTGAGTTGTAAACGTCTGTGGTGCCTATGATCGAATGTATTTTTTTCCTGCATGATCATCCACTGTGGTGTTTGTAATTAGCAAAAAATGAGCCTGATTTGTTCTCCTTTGTAGAGCCAGGCCGAGGCCCACTACAAAGGAAGTAAACATGCCAAGAAGGTCAAAGCACTAGAGGCAACGAAAAATAAACCCAAAATGGTTTCTTCCAAGGACAGCGCAAAGGCTAATCCCAGCTGCTCCATCACTCCAATCACAGGCAACAACTCTGACAAATCAGGTCAATGACACTTTTTGTTCTTTACATTCTTTGTGTTTCTCCTGTTCACCTGCCCTGACCCCATTTTCCTGCCCTCAGTTGTTGCATGTTACTCTCCATGATTTGTTTTTGTGAGAATAATATGTTTTCTTCACGGGAAGGATTATATGTTTGCACGGAACTTAAGCATTTGATATGTTTCCATTCCATGTTATTAAATATATACGTTTAAATATATATGTGTATATGTAAATATATATATGTATATATGCATGAAAATGAGTAGAAACTACTTGATTACAGCGTGTTTAGACTAAAATCAGGAAATAGATCTAAAATACCTAGTTTATTACTTCTTTCTATTTATTTTATGTTTGTTTTTCACTATAGACTTTTTTAGTGAAGGACTCCTTAAACTTGTTTACTAATAGATATTTTTATGTTCTCTTACTTCAGTAAAAATGAATTGAGGAGCCAAAGGGGGGAACTTTCTGAGAGAGTGGCATTACTAAATGAATCTGGAAATGTGCTTAGTAATAAAAGATGATGCTTTTTGAAGATCTTCCGAGTTCCCCTCAAAGTTACAAATGGACTTACATATTTTAAGGGAATGATTTCCAACGTATGAACTGATTAACAGAAGACCTTCATATATAAATGGAAATGGGTTACTAGGTGAAATGCCTCTGAAGAAGAGACTATATTTCATAGTCCCAGTGAATCGGTAGAATCTCTAAGTAGGTTCTTTCAGTGGAAAGAGAAAAAAAAAAAACATTTTTGTAGCATGGATACCATGAAATTGAATGTTTAATAGGCTTCCACAATCTCACATCTGCCCCTCTGCGCCCATGACGGATATGTCATATTGTTTCAGTGACTCTTTGAAGAACAGTCTCTGTTAAAGGAGACTAAGAGAATATGTCCCTTTCTCTTATGTTTGATGCTCTCTTTAGGGGCCTCCCTTTTGTGGGAAACACACATTTCTGATTCTCTTCTACTTCTCAGATCATTGGAGAATGTTAGAAGGAGACTTTAGACTGCTTTCCCATGGCTTTTGGAGAAGATCCATTACTGTAAAAGGAAGATTCAGAAAACCTGTTCAAACAAAGAGACTATGGAAAAGGGGACCGTTATTGATTAGGCCCTGTAGATGCTGGCTCCAAAAGCCCTTTAGCCTAGAAGGATTGGGCTAAGCTAAATTTGTTAATAAAGACTTTTTGTTCTTTGTACAATAGGATCACTAAATCATGTTAACTGATGAACAGATATAGTCATAAATGCCAGATTATTACAGAGCACATCTCCCTCTCTAAAGAACAAAGCCTTCTTACATATATTATATAATTAGTCTTTAATCAATATCTATCAGGTATAATATCAAATATTATCTCTATTTTTCAAAATTGCAAACTGTGGTGAGATACACAATGTGGCAGTTATTTACTGGAGGCTACCCAGTGTTTGGAAGAGCAGGAGTTTGCTGACTTCTTGCCTGGTTTTGTTTAATGCAGGATATCACCGCCTCTATGGAACAATACTCTGCAAAAGTTTTGTTACCTAAATTATGCTCTTTACGTTCCAGCAAAACATATAAGTAAAATGATAAAACAATGGAGGTTAGTGTCACTTTCAGCTACTAGAACAGTTGGTAGGTACCATACATGTTACAACGTTGCTACTGAGTGAGCTCAGTGTTCCACTTAAGTTATATTATTATTTGAAAATTGGGTTGGCTCTAGGGATAACAGTAAAAGTAATGAGCAGAAAATAGTGTCAAAATCAGAAATAGAGATGGAACAATCAGAGAAGAATCCATTTTTTTAAAAAGCAGATAATTAAAGGGAGAAGGAAAGGTGTGGAAGAAGAGAATAGGGGAAAAAAGTCAAAGATGAGGAGATAAAACCAAGGAAAGAGCAATACAGAAATAGAATATCCAAATAAAGGGGGCTGGATTATAGTTACAGCATGCCTTATACCTACAAGATGCCCAATTTCAATGAGTATATTTTGAAATGAAGTTTAAGGATTCAAGGCTTTCATTCCAATACTCAAATGTTAGCGGGTGCTCAGTAAAACGAAGACACTTTTTAGCAGTTGTGTTTGCCTACAAAGCATTTGGAAAACACCAGGATAAAGCATACCAGTGGTGTGAACAAGGAATGAGAATTAAGCTCTAAAACCCAGGAGAGAGGAAAACAAATCTCAACCACAGCATCTCTTCTTCAGTACATATGTGGTGGTCTTTCTTCCTGCATTCTCTGCTTCCTCTGCCACTCTTTTACCCACTTCCTAGTACCTATAGTCTAACAGTATTGATGTCACCCACTTTATGACTGTCCAGATTTGGACTAGAAGTAATAGAAACCACCTGTATTTGGAGGTTATCTCATTTTTCATGTTTCCTTACTCAAAATCTGTATAAATTATTTGGTAACTCATTTGCTGGGCCATTACTTTTTGTTTCTCTGTGTTTGGTATAAGTATTAATACTAACAAAAAGTATTTGTTCTATTATACTTATAAAAGCTACACCAAAGTCATTGAAAGATGGCACTTAAAAAAAAAAGGAGTGCATTTGCTAAATAGATGCATGTTCTTTTGTCACTGTCAACCATATGTCAGCTTCTAAGTAAGAATTCCCACATGAGTTTTATAGAATTTTCAAGTTGGAAAATTAGAAGCTTTGCCCAGATGGGAAATCTGGTCCAAACGATATAATACCTAATGTATTGTTAACTGCCTGTTTCTAAATCCTTGAAAAGCTCCCACAGCTTTATCAGAGTCATAGATTTTTGTTGATATCTGGCTTTCATTTCATTTAAAATCCTGTTTTAAAAAAACACAAGACACAAAAATCAGTGCTTCACAAAAAGTCTAGGTACAATGTAAGGAGAAAGAGGGTGGGAAGAGGAATGATGACTGTGATAATTGACTGAAATGTTTTATTTCAGACAATGTTGCTTTAAGGAGTCAGACAAAAATTAGAGTAAAAGTCACAGTGAAAATTCATGACTGACTTGCAGATCTCATGAGACTGAAATTCCTCAGCACTGGTCTTTTTCTTCTGAATGAAGAGTTCCTGCCAAGTGGGCTTAAGTAGTATCTGTGATTCTCAGATATTTAAATGAAAAGTGAAAATGTTACTCACTTGATGTCTCAGCTGCCAGATTTCAACTATGCAGGCACTCACAACATCCATAGACTTGACTAATTCCATTTCCATTCTCATGTTTTAGCATCAATGGCTTAGTAGCAGAGTTTTGTTTACATTTGGAAAGAGAGGGAATAGCCAGGAGTTAACGGAGGGAGCTTCTGGGGGAGCAGCATTCTGGGAACATCCTTTAAGGCAAGGTGTGATTTCAGGGTATCCAACAAGAAACTTGGGATCCACAGATGATTTTTTTTTTTTTTTTTTTTGAGACCAGAGTCTCGCTCTGTTGCCCAGGCTGGAGCGTAGTGGTGTCATCTTAGCTCACTGCAACCTCTGCCTCCCACGTTCAAGCAATTCTCATGCCTCAGCCTCCGAGGAGCTAGGATTACAGGCACCCACCACTATGCCTGGCTAATTTTTGTATTTTAGTAGAGATAGGGTTTCACCATCTTGACCAGGCTGATCTTCAACTCCAACCTCAAGTGATCCACCTGCCTTGACCTCCTGAAGTGCTGGGATTACAGGTGTGTGCCACTGTGCCCAGCTGGTGAACTCCTTCTGCTCCTCGAGAGCACACATTATTTATTCTAAGAAGTGATCTAAAAGGCTTCCAAGAGCTAGGGAAGCCCTCGTACCTGCTATTTTGGCACTTGGCACAACTATTTTTCTCTTTTATGTTACTTTTGGAGACATAATTTGGTTCATGTTATATCCAGATCTGTATGAATGCAAAGAGATTTGTTATAATGGAGCTATTGTGTATAAAAATTTCGGGATATCATGGCAAGCTTTCTTTTTTTTCTCTCAGTCAGTAAACAAAATGGGTTTAAACTATAATAGCATGAATTGCATGTATTATAAGAAGTTCTAACTACATGATTCAAAAAATCAGATATATTTCATTAAAGCTATTCTTCTCAGTTATGTAAGAATAGCTGTCCATTCACTTTTTGGAAGTTGAGGTAGAGTTACATGTAAAATCCAAATATCATCTCCCAGGATCTGTCCCAACTTTTAATGATGCATCAGAGGAAGTTGGAAACATAATGGGAGGGAGGAAAAATGTGCTTTGGGAGAATTGGGGTCAAAACACAGCAAGCATTAGGCAGCTTCAGGAAGATGGCTAGAACATATTGGCCAGACACTCTACCCAAATTTCCCCCTGGAGTACAAGTGTCATAATGCCATACGACAATACACTTCCCTGTGATAATATGCCCAATACATCAAATTGAAGGCTCTCTTGTGACAGCATTTAACAACTCATACCAAGTTAAAAAAATACGGAGCCTCCAAAAAAATCCTGCTTCTTAAAAATAATAAAATATTATGATAGTCAACTTAATAGTCCATGTGTCTGGGCTTTAACATTGGATTTTTTAAAAAAAATTAATTAAATATCAATATGAAGAAATGACATTTCTCGTTTAAAGTACATAAAGCTACTTAGAACTAAACAGCCTTTAATCAGTTGCTGTCTAAACAGATGAATGCATATGGAATGATTCAAAATGCTATAGATGTATTTATAAATGCAATTAAGAGCAAAGATAATTGAGCCAGCATCTTCTGTTGAAGTATAACAATAGAAACACCTTAAATTTGTTCAGCTTACAAGACGTAGTTACACATATGTTTTCACTTCACTCTCTTAACCCTTTGATAGATAGGGTTGAAATTAGCATCCATTGTTTATTCATTCATGCAATGAACTTGATATCCATGTATTCACTCAACAAATGTTGATTATCTATACTAAATAGCATAGTACATATGGGTGCAACAGTGAATAGAAGGACATTTGTGGCCCTCAAAAACTTTCAACCTAGTGGTGTTTTTTGTTGTCATTGTTGGATATTACGGATTTAAA